ATGAAACACAACTATTGCATTGTATGACTTGAGGAAATGCATAGTCTTAAACCTAACAGAAACCATATATATTATTAAAATCGAGAATCGAAAACGGGGAATGTGTCAAAGAGACAACAACCCGACCAAAGAGCAGAAAACAGCCCAAGGCCACCAATGGATCTTCAACACAGCTAGAAAATCCCGCACCCGGAGGCAGGCTTCAGCTGGCCCCTAAATAAAAATATGTACTAGTTCAGAGAAACTCCGAAACATAAAGATGAACCAAAATTAAAAAAAACAAAAAACATACAATACTAATAAAGACAAGAGGTTCCTGACTTGGGACAGGCGCAAAAATGCGGCGGGGTTAAACATGTTTTGTGAGATCTCAACCTACCCCATTATCTCTAGCCAATGTAGAATAAACAAACAAATAGCAATACGCACATAGTTTACAAATATCACATCTGTTCAATAACACCTTTGTGTTAAATTTATTAATGCCTAATGTAAGTAAACTGTTTTTAAATTATTTTATTAAATTGTCCGTTAATAAATTTTAAAAATTATAAAAAACTAAGGTTTCATCTCCCTCTGGCAAAGTTGACCTTAGATAGATTTGGCTATTATTTCAGGTCCTGTTTGGTCATATAGATCTTCAACTGTTTCGGTTCCTATACAGCCTTGGCTTTCAAATATTCGGCTTTGAGTGTTCCTGATGAAGGTAAATCCAGAAAAGCGCATCAGACGCAAGAAATTTATAACGTTTTGTTTTCATTTTTTGTTCAATATATTGTTTCTTAAGCAGATTTCAGCAAATCATGTAACATTTCTTTACATTTATTTTTTGTTTTGTCTAAATTAGTGTACATGTAGGTAATAACTACAAAGATAGTTTCTTCCTTTATTAATAGAAATGCGTGATAATTAAATTAGGTTAAACATTTATGACGATCCAAACCAACAAAAATAAAATATTTCGAGTTCGGCAAATAATTTGATTTTAAACTTCCTCTATCAAGTATTCTTAAACAGTTAGATGCACTCAATAGATTTTTTATTTGATGTGATGAGAAAATGCAGTTATCTTAGAATCTAACTTGAATATCTCATTTACCTTCGAAAATGTCAAAATGCAGATAGTTACGACACATTCCGATTTTTTGGCGGGAAAGCTTATAAACGTTCGGCATGTGACAATTTGTCTAAATATAAGTGGAAGTTCGGTATGTGTCCTTTTAAATGCGATATCAGTTATGTGTTAACATCAAGGGTATTGCTTTTGTGAAATAAGCTGTTCATGACTGCTTACACCTACATGATCTTAAACTGTTATTAGTCATCTGTAAATATATGAAGATAGAAACAGTGCTCAGATCACAGTATATTTTATGTTTAAAGAAGTTAAAAGTGAGGATAGTTATCTGTAAACGTTGTTCAGTAACATTTAATATGCGATTATAGTATAATATAAAGAAATACTTAATTAAAAGAAACTGCAGATGTTAATTAAAGTAGGCAATATAAATAGAGGAAACATGTAGATATTGTCAATAAAACAGACGATAATTATTTGTGCACATGTACCATTGCCTTCTGTTTTTATTTCAATTTATAGATATATACTATTCATCAAATATCAAATGTTTTAACAGTAGATTTTTTGTCACATTCCAATAATGATAGTAAGCTTAAACAAAATGCATTTATTGAATATTACAGTAAAAGGCGTTAACTACTTTTATTTTGATACAGATATAAATGGTAAATGCGTAAAGGTGAAGACACCTAGCTTGTAATTTAAAAGCAAAAAGTATTATGTTTGAAAATGGCTCACTTTAAAATGTAAACAGATTCCGTCAAAAACAAATTTTGTCATTTTTAAAAGCTGTTCATAAGTTTAAAATGCATCATGAAATAGTGTCTAAAATGAGAATTAATTCGAATAAATGTCAGATGTTTTTCAAAGAAGGCATTTTGAATAGGGGAACATCCTTTCGAAAGGTGCTGTATACATTTAAACGTTATGTAAACTAAAAAAAAATAATTCAACACTGTCATTACAAACAGAAAATAAGGATTTTTTCCCTTTTTTACACAAAACCACATATTAAACAGTTATTGATATATAGTAGCTAAACGTCTTAAATCAAATGTTTTAACATAAGGGTTGAAAATTCTGCAAAAATAAATATGTCTTTTTAAAGTTGTTGTTTTCTCAATTCAATAATGACAGTAACTTTGAAAGAAATCCATTAGTAAAATGCTTTTACTACTAATATTTGAATACATATTTTAGCGTTTGTCGTAGGTAAATCAAGTGATCTAATTGTTGAATATCATATCTTGAAATCAGCCTAATGTCGGGTGAGTGAAGATTCCTCATGAAGATTTTCTTTGTTATAAATAATAGCCAAGCAAAATACTTTAGATTTTAATTTCCCATGTATGAATGTTCTTTGTAACATCTTTACACCCATTATGCGAAATCTGTTCTCTAAATAGATTAATGGTTTTTCGATTGTAATGCAATACGTTTTTGTCACTGCCTTTTATGTTGAAAAATCAAATACCTATAATTAAGTCAGTTACAATAGATATCAACGTACTGTGGTGGCCATGTTTTATCCTCCACTCCCTTTAAACCCATCATTATCATATGTTATTTCATATTTGAAGGTTGGTTAATGACACAAGATAAAAATCATTTTTGCTAGTCAAATTATGATGTTTTGTTACAAAATTTAAAGGTCGTCTTTACATGATGTGAAATTCCCATAAACAGTTTCTTTTGGGGAATTTTATTTTTAATGTTTTTTCCACAGCAATCAATCACCTTTCAGGTATGAGGTGATCTAAACTGAGATGTCCATTCAATTGCATTGACTTATTGAATATATCCTGTTTAAGTTTCCTGACCGTTTTAAATTATTGTATCAAACCATTATGTTTTGCTGACAAGTAGTTAACTTTAAATGCAGACTTTCGGCAAACCTTAACGCTTTCTTATGTTTACAAACGTCAAAAGCAAAGATGTTATTTGCAAATGTTTTCTTTCCGCAATATAAAACATGCAAGTGTTGTAATGTCTAAACATTGCTAAAGTAAACAATAATTAAAATCAATACAGGTTTAAGTATAGTTCGTAATTAAAGGCGAATCTACGTGTACAACAAAATGTAAATTTCCTAAAGGCTTGCATGCAAAACTGGTAAAAACAAATACAGTATGAACAACATACTGTTTTCTTCAATCCAAAATTAGTATTAACCACGAAAAAGAAACGAAAAAAAGTCAACCCAACAGAATAGAATCTCAATCTAGCTAGCATATAATTCAGAGATACATGTAAAATAATAATTTTTAAAATGACACAATTGACGTGTTTTGTCGTTTGAATTGTTTTAAATTTGTGAATTCGATGTCCTTTATAGCTTGTTATGCGATATGGAATTTGCTCATTGTTGAAGGTCGTTCGGTGACCTATACTTGTTAACTTCTACCTCATTTGGTCTCTGGTGGAGAGCTGTCTCATAAATATTCATTACAATAACCTCTCGTTTCATGTATATTACCACTGAGATAGCCAATGTCCTTCTTAAATTTATAGTTCTAAAATATCACAAAACCGGGAAAAATGTGTCACTGAGTGTCCCTTTCTAATTAATATAACGAATATACCATGTACACAATTATCTAATGTTGTTACATCAATACCTTCTTGTAATAATCAAGTTGCATTTAACCTACAATGTGCATTCCCATTTTCTGGTTTCACATATATCATGTTGAAGTAGATATTTTGTTTACCATAACTAAAACTATAAATGATATGTTACTGCCTCAAGTAACTTAGACAAAATGAAGATATCACAAAATGAAAATAACACTTTATAAATTGTGTACTTCCAGAACGCTCATCTGGATGTTCCTTCAAAAGAAACGTTCAAACCATATCACACAAATACCAGTATGGTAAAAATTCATATTTTGTAATTAGGCTGATGCACTTAAGGAGTTAGCACGGACGTTAAATTCATTATTTAGACCACTTTGATTAATTAAATGTATGACTTGAGCTATTAATTATTGGAGTCATGGTTACCAAACATGGCAACTTATCATTCAAATAAATCTGTACCTCCTTACAGTCTGGATTTTTTACATTTTATTTGTTGAATGGAGAGTTTAAAGCCCTTAACACTGACGGACACTGCATTTAAACAAATCAATCTCTATACATACATAATATCGGTGCAAGAAATTATTTAATACATTTATGTAAAATTTTACTGCTTTGTCTCTTGAATAGGCCGTATGTCTCATGCTGTGTGAATATAATTGCTTCATATAATTGTACGCAATAAAAAAACTATTTAAAACTTAAAAGCATTTGATTTCATATGATCCTCGTCATGATTAAATTATAATTTAGCACAAACACTCATTGTCAGTTATACAAAGATCATTCACTGCATGGCATTCGAAATTTACCACCCAGACACCTTTTGTATCATTGTACAAATACATAGTATTGCTATGCGTTGTCAAATAACCATGTGTTTTTTTCCCATTTAAACCTTATCATGATGTTTTTTTTTCTATTCTATAAGACATAAACTGAAATAGTTTAACCAGCGAAAATATTTTTTATTGGTATCTATTAAGCGATATATCATGTTGTTTGAAATAATGGCTAGTTTGGAAAATGCAAATGTGTTCGAAATAAAAGTGAAAAAAGTCTAAGAACCCAGATCACTTCCATGCCCGCTTTTTCCTTTAAGGGTCAATGGTCACTCTTTTAAACGAGTATCAACACCATTATATTATATACAGTTCCTTATCAAAGGTCTTATATCTCACATTCGTAAATATGTCGAACACATTGGTATTCTATGAAATACTTTTGTAATTTATCATTTAAATTAAATCAAGCATATCACTGTTTCCATTGGTTGTAAACTTAAAGTCAACACTATATAAAGTGATGCATTTACACCCATGAATAATACATTTGATTTTATCACGGTTATCGTAAGGTAAGGTGTGCCTGATCATTCGTCATGGAGAAAAATGCATGTTATTATTTAAATAATTTCATGTTATAATTCGTCCTTTTAACACTTCATCATGTTACAGCATTGTCATTCTTTGCTGCGCCGTGTATATTTATATCCCATTGTTTAATTAATAACTATTTCCATTCCTGTTTTATTACAAATAAGAACGCTAGACCGTTTTATCAAAATTGAAGTCAAATGTTAAACAAACTCGAGAAAGTTGCCTTTCTTTTTGACACAAAGCGATATCAAAGATATGATTTTTGTTAATATAGATTAACAGTTCTTTTTTGTTTTACAGGAAAACTAGTTACGCTTTGATCGATCATACAGGATAATATTTCAAGAAACTTTTCCAACACAACAAAAACATGTCTTTATCCAAAGAACAAACAGGTAAGTGAAAAGGTCTTTTGCATTACCTTACATTCAGGAGTTAGCAATCAAATAAAAAAAAAATCAAATTTACTGCAATTTTTTTGTCTTTTAAAACTTAAATAAGTATGGTCATGTCTATAATCTATTTTGTTGAAACTGGTACATTGGTGGTTCACTTCGGTAAAGACAAGTGGCTGAGATTGACATTATCTAAATACATGATTTTGTTCAACAGTGTGTACAGCGTGGTAAAAGTTACAAGAATTTCAAAATATTTTTGTCAGAAGTGTATTTGAAATGTATATTTCAATTCATGTATCTTTTAAATTGTGCATTGAATTCAAATCCGAATTAAAATTTAACAAAATAGTTTGTATCTTACTGATAGTGCATGTAATATCTTCGGAACAGTAGCGGTTACTATTTTGGATTCTTTCTTGCTCATTTTCCCTGAATAAGTTAAAAAAAATGTCACATCTAAAGTGTAAGATTAGGAGGAAATTTTATGCATATCTGATATCTTTCGGGTTTCCTTTTTGCATTTAGACAAGGTAATTCAGACAATAATGTTTGTTTACAAAGTATCTTGTGACTCCTTTGTTTCTTCCAAAAGCATGTTGATCCTTGTCACATTCCTGCCTAACATTTTGCAATATCTTTATCACATACCTCTATGCATTTTCAAGTATTTTAGTTCCATCCTTCTTTCCTGTGAAAAAATTCGTTTAATATATAAATCGGGAATTACTTCTCTCGTATGACAAATTTCAATAACGGTGGTCATTAATACGAAAATTATATTTTGTAATATTGAAATGCAAAAAATCAAATAGGAACTACTACAGATAGCAGACAATATAGTTTAAATACTATTCAGGCCCTTGATTGAATAGAAAGAAAATTAATTGCAAATTTATCATGAGTTTTTCATTGGTCAGTTTCTGGCAAGGGCTATGCTCATCTTTTGTGTTTGTGCAGTTTCAAATATGTAACGTATCACTTCATACTATAATCGACTGAAAGAATATCAATTTACTGCATTAAAACGTTCAAATTGTTTTGATTTTGTACGATTTTAAGGAAGACAATTTAGGATCAAACTAGAATTCTTGTAATAGGTAATGTTAATCCCTTTCCAGTGGAGTTGGATCCGTTCTGTCTGTTTTTGTAGTTGATTTTTATATTAGGTGTAATACTTTTGATTTCGTATAATCTTTTCAGAGGAAGTGGAGCGCTGCATGCTTGAGTTGAAAACAATTGACCGTGAGGTATGTGAAGAGATGGAAAGATCTACAGACAAACGAAATGAAGTAAGGAACTTCATGTCAGAAGTTATAGCAGCAGAGGAGAAGTTTATTTCTACATTTGATAAAACTGAAGAGGGAAAAAACGCTTTCAAAGAGAGTGTCAAAACCATGGTTGAAGCTCTTGACTTTGAAACATTCCGTGTAGAAATAGTAGGGCATCAAACCAAAAAGGGACGTGTAACTTTTATGAGGGACGGAACACCATTTCTGCCAGAAATACAACTTCTTACAATTCAGGACACGGAAAACGCTACGTCTAAACAGGCTGCAAGCATTGTGATTGAGATTGCTGTCGTATTGCTGTTGTTGGCTAAAGTTAAAGATCCTTTGTCTAAAGAGCGATTGAAAAAGGCGATTGAAGAATTAGAACCCTCTATGGGTAAGATTAAGGATGCTTTGCGTAATCTAGCTTTTACATGGAAGCATAATTCAGATATGAAAGCACGTGCAGCGGCATTGCTTACTTTCGTAAAACAGATTTACCATGACGGAATTCTAGTGAAATGCATCAAAATCATTATCAGCAACATGGGCTGGTATAAACGAGCTAAAGTTCTGGGGCATATAATCTTGTTTATTAAATCAACATGTCGTCACCCAAAGAGTCTTCTTCAGAGAATTGAAGCAGTGCTAAAAGAAAAAGCTGCAGAAAAGCTCACAGAGAAGATCGCAAACCTAATCAAAATAAGCGAATGTCAGGAAATCCTTGATTTGAATTACATTTTATAACTATTATATTACTGAATGAGCTTATATTTAGCTTCTTTGAACTTATTCATAACTGTCATATCTTTCTGTCTTGTCTTATTTTTATGCTTTAATTAGGATTCATGTCATTGTTTAGTCTGACGATGTTATTGTCATTAAGAAACTCAATTAGACAATCAATATTCTCATTTACGTTGCTTTACATTTTAACAAGCCTGTTATTGTTTGCTCTGGTATTGGTTTTGTTGTACTTAAATTGGTCTGTAGCATTAAAAGTTCTCTTTCTCATTGACAATTTTACCACATCTTCATTTTTTATATTACTGTGAATGGTTTTATGCATAAAGATTCAGAATAATTAATAGTAATATTATTCACATGTATGTTAGACTAGTGCATTAGAAAACCTAGATGTGTCTGCCGATTCGTCCTTTCGCCATATTAATGAACCATGACGAATTATTGATGACAATCTTAGTTCTTTCTTTCTTGATTTTTCTATGCACAACAATAAATTAACAAAACGACTCAATGCTCTGACTAAAGAGTATTTTGCAGTTACCGAAAGCTAGTTTGAAAAATTAATTTGAACTAGAAAATTGACCATGTTTTATCCTACCTAATTATTATATCTATCATATTATCTACAGTACAGGACAAACAGAATAAAACCAAAGACGTATAAAACAGTTTAGAAAAAGCAAGACCTAATGCAATTGCAACGTAAGTTGACCTGTGAATATATTTGGATTTTATTTTGTTGTCGGGTTGACTCACGACTGAGATACATCAAGCATCGGCTTTTATTCATCTGTTTATAATCTATAATTGTAAATCAGACACCACCATTGTAAACACACAACTGTTACTATAATTATGCAACAATGTATTTAAGAAAAATATAGAAACACATAATTGAATATCCTCGGCTAAATTCATCCAAAAACTGTGTTCATTTGAAACAATTAAGTTTTACTCCTTTAATCTTTGCATATTATGTTTGAAAGCAGATCAAACTATTTTTAAAGCTACATACCTGCTCATGGAATACGACAGTCATTAAACAAACCGGAATAAGCATATGGTTATATAATTTAATAATAGGACTACCATATCAATTTGTCTGTTCATGTGCAGTACTGAACAAACAGTTTTAATAATTTCTGATAAATGGCCCTGTGTTAAAATAAATAGATGTGGTATGATTAACAATGAGACGAAAATTCACTAGTGACTTAATGACGAAAAAAAACCCACCATTGGTCCCCGTACGGTCTTTAACGTATATCGTAAGCTATAAAAAGTAAAATAACAAAAATAGCGAACTCCTAGGAAAATTCAAAACGGAAAGTCCCTTAACAAATGGCAGTTCAAAGGCTCCAACACATGGAATGGAAAACAACTGTCATATTCCTGACTTGAAACAAACTCCCCCTGTAAGACAAAATGTCCAACAATTTAAGAGAGAAAAACAACGCCCTGGTTAATGTAAATACAATCAACTAGCAACAAGTACAGTAGACAGCAACCAACGATAACCACGAAAAAAAAATCGTCTGACTTTAGACAGGCCCATAAGGAAACGGCATCATGTAAAACTATTCGTTTGATCTTCACCCGATGTATTTCAGCATCAAGTGTACATCATTACAGATGTACATGTCATTTTGAAGGGATTGTAAGATAGGAGAGGACTTTTAATACACAAATACACAATTTAATAGTTTTCCTTTAACGAGAGAACATTTTATTATCAGTACGTATGCTCCATTTCAAATAAACCATGACATTTATAAAATTGAGAATGGAAACGGGGAATGTGCCAAAAAGACAACTACCCGACCAAAGAGCCAAAAACAGTCCAAAGCCACCAATGGGTCTTTAAAACAGCAAAAAAAAAAAAAAAAATAAAGAAAAAAAAAAATCCCGCACCCGGAAGCGGGCTTCAGCTGGCCCCCAAACAATAATATATACTAGTTCAGTGAAAATGGACGTCACACTAAACTCCGAAACATATAAATGAGCTAAAATTCAAAAAAAAACATACGAGACTAACAAAGGCCAGAGGTTCTTAACTTGGGACAGGCGCAAAAATGCGGCGGGGTTAAACATGTTTTGTGAGACATATACCTCTAGCCAATATGGAATAAAAAAATGCATTTCATATGTATGTACAATGTATGATGAATGCATTCGCTGAATTTGCAATTATAATAAAATGTTGAATTGGATATTTTTGAATAAATTTTAAAAAAGGAAATGGAATATCTCAGTATGTTAAATAAGATATTCACAATTTTTAATCAACCTTAGGAACCTTAAAGTACTCAAATACATATATGTTTAGAACAAGGATAACTTATGTTTCATCGGCGTCCTGTCCATACCTTTGGTGTTTTGACGTTTACAAAAATTATTTCCAAATATCTGCAAATCATTAAGTTAAACGATAAAAACTTTTTATCCTAATATTAGTTTACAAATTTGCACAGGCAATAATATTCATATTGATATTAGATGGACGACAGCTAAAATTTCACCGGCGTCCGTCCTATGTTTTTGGGATTTTATGCGTTTTAGAGAATTTTAGACGGACATACGGATACAGTGCAAAATATATAACTACCTAATTATCGATTCAAGTTGGTATTCCTATTTTGTCGTGCTCAATCAAAGAGGATACCCATCGCAACTATTGATCTTATCAGGATCGCTTCACCTATGTTTTGTGTTATACATTTTGCAATTAGTCTGCTGTCTTCGTGTTATTACCCTGCAACCATGTTTGCCTTACAAAAAAGAACTGTAGATTCATTATTATTTGTTGGATACTAATTTTTGTTGATTCCGTGGTTACAGGTGAACCACGAATTTAAATGTTCAACGAAGTACAAATTTTCTATAGGCTTGTATGCAGACCTTGGTAAAACCACGAAATCAAATATCCACGAAAATACAGAGTTTCCTCAATCCACGAAAATAAATGAATCCACAGTATACTCGAAAGTTCATTATCAGTCATAAGGTTTTATATTCTGTGTGTACATTACCAGGTACCAAGAAAATCTAGGGCATCAATCTCAGGATAAAAAGACTTTGATAAACAGTCGCAAGATAAAACATCATACATTGTACTTCAGTTTTGAGATAATTGTGTCTTTGATTGGCAAAAACAAACATTTTCTTTTAAATCAAGTTTGTTATGTTCTCAAACAAGCACAAAAAAAAACATTGTTGTAAAAATTTAATTATGTAATAGTTATTGAACAACACGCCGTTACATATTATTTGTACTGCACAGCTAATGACCATATTTGACCCGAACGACCCAGTCGCTATATGTTCTCGAGGACAAATGGCGAAGATGTTTTTACATATTGAGGAGGACAAGACCTACACACTTCTGTCTTAACCAACCCCGCTCTTTGCTTAAGAAATACCAAAGTATTCTCGGCGTGGTGAATAAACTTATCGAAGTTAAAGCAATTTCAAATGGAATCCGTACACGTTACTAAACTATTGCTGGTACTAATTTAACCGCTGTTGAACCGCTGTTTAGACAAACAACTACTTTATTATGCTTGACAAGAAAGATATGTCATAAAAATGTAACACTATGATTCAGTTTTTAGACTGTCATGTTGCTTAGTTTCTTCTGTAACCTATTCTTACATCAGACTTGGACCTCTTTTTAACTAGGTTTCACTGTGCGTTTTGCTGTGTGTTTGTTTATTCTATATTGGCTTGAGGTATAGGGTGAATCTCAAAAACATCTTAAACCCTGGCGCATGTTTGCGCCAGTCCCAAGCCAGGAACTCCTAGCCTTTGTTAGTCTTGTTTGTTTTTTGAATTTTGGTTCATTTCTATGTTTCAGAGATAAGTGTGGCGTCCATTTTGCTGAACTAATATGCATTATTGTTAAGGGGCCAGCTGAAGCACGCCTCCGGATGCGGGATTTTCCCCGTTGCAATGAAGACCCATTAATGGCCTTAGACTGTTCTCTGCTCTTTGATCGGGTTGTTGTCTATTCAACACATTACCCGTTTCCATTTACTATTCTATCGTAGACGTCCTTCTTAAATAGTATAATTCAAACGGACTTGATTTATTTCTTAACATGTCGTGCTCACTACCTTGATTTAGCATACCGATGATCTCGACAACATATTTTTTTTATACGTAACACTCAGTAATTTTTCCTGGGTCATTTACCAATCCAGTGATGGAAAAAAATCTCTCACTTGTTAGTCTACTGTGATAACAGTAATATAAGTTCAATATTAACGAATCATTGTTTTTGTCATCAGAAAAGATTGTTTGAAATGTATGCGAAGAAAAAATAACAGTATTTATTGTGTTTTAAACTCAACAGCCATTCAACTCTTTTATATTTTTTGAAGATTTTCGTTTAGATAACAACATTTTACGACCGACGTTCTCCTAGGGTTACCATATGTTTATATAAAGGTAATACTATAATCTTTATATACTGCTCAGCAAATGTAGATCTGCATATCATCGTAAAATGGCTTAACTTAATGCTCATAAGCTTAGAACAAATCATTGAAGAAAATCAAAATGTGTTTCGTATACAGCGCTTCCATGTGATGTAAAGCCATAGACTCCTACGCGGTAACGTATCCATTAAAATATGCTTAACAACGTTACTTAAATTTCAAGAAGGACGAAACTGGTAGAAAAGAAATACACGTTTTTCGAATTATTTATTGGTGAATGGTAGTATATAACATGTGTGAAGGAACAAAAAATAACAATCTACTTAGGACAACTAATTATAATTTGTATTTTTGTTTTGATAATGCACATCCCTCTTGTTTGCCTAATTAGTAAGTGACGTAAATGTGTTCATATTTACTAATTTTGCTGTAAATTTCACAGTGTTGACAATTACAGTAAGAAGTGAAGCTAGCAAAGCCAAGCCGCCGCTTCCAGCTAATGTGATGATAAACGCAGTTACCCTGGCTATTAACATAACCCAGTCAAACCAATGTAGTCCACTATAGAGAGCCTTCAGAACATCTATCAAGACTCCTTCAGTAAAAAGATGATACACTATGTTGCATATTTCTCTGAACAATGCCTCACGATCGCCATTTTCGTTATACACGACAAGGTTATGAACCATCTCTACTATGACTTGGCTGGTTTCAACAAAAGTTTTTAAAACTTCAATGCTCGCCCTCATACTTTCGTGATCAGCAGGAATAGGAATTCCAACCGCTTGCAAGAACATCAACATTGCTTCAAAAACGATGTCTGCAATCTGCCAATTCGTTGCACGGACAATTAGCTTCCGGGAAGACAATGCAATGCGTTCTAAGAAGGGTTTTCCATCGCGTACGAATTCCACAGCCGTTTTATCGATATTGATATTCGTTTCGAAAACTTTAACACTTAAGGACGTTAAAAACATGTCTTGTCTAGATATTGAAAGATGAGATAAGGCCTCCATTGACACTATCTTTTTTTCCCTTATGTTCCTAACTATTTTGAAAGTTTCTTCAATGGTTTTTGTAACCTCATTAATCAGATTCTTTGTTTCATTTTGATTTCGTAATATTTTCTTCATATCATCGGGAATCCGTTTTTCTAGGTTGGCCATGGTTTCCGCCTCGAACTCTTTGATCGTTTTAGTTCTACTGGTATCCATACCTATAATGATTACGTATATTACAAAATAATAACAAGTACACAATTGCTATGTGAATTTGTAATATAAAAACAAGCTCATCTACTAAGATTCTCCGTTTAGTTTATAAATTGTTTGAGTAATCACAGATAATTGGATAAGATCTTTGGCTGACCTATAAGGCATTTGTTCAAATATAGAAATAGCTAATGTAGAATATTTTAAAAGAGAGCGTCAAGGATCTTTTATTTTTTTATGAGTGCGAAATATTTGGTTTTATATGGAACAAGGACAACAAAAGTTTAAAACAAAAATGCATATTATATTAATATAAATAGCATATCAGAAACCGCAGGAATAATCGAACAAAATGATGAGTTAATTATTCTGATAGGATTTACATGTTTATATAATGATTGATAAGTGACACGTTAGTTTTCTCGTTTGAATTGTTTTACATTTGTTATTTTGGGGTCTTTTATAGCTGGCAATGCGGTATGGGTTTTGCTCATTGTTGAAGGCCGTACGGTGACCTATAGTTAATTTCTGTGTTATTTGTGTTCTTGTGGAGAGTTGTCTCGTTGGTAATTATACCACATCTTGTTATTTTTATACATACGATAACAAATACTTCCATTTTGAAACCAATGCATCTAAAAACAATATTATGGTTTTAAACACTAATAATTTTTGCGTAAAAGAAAATCTGGTCTTCTAGTCTAAAGCGACACACAATTAATTATACAACATGAAATTTGGTAAATGTTATACATGTAATACGCAGACGATTTCAAACAATCTAAAATTTAACATGTTTAAGTACTTTATTAGTATATTATTGTTACCTGTTGAACAACCTTCCTCACGCTACGCTCGATATCAAAAGGTTTTTAAGAAAATGACAACGGCATTTCTAAAAATCAATAATACTGTATGTATGTAATTGAATCTACTTAAAATTGGGAATCTGTCGTCTTATATTAATTGTATGAGCTGCTAATGTACCGATAGTGTTTTATTCTCTATCCCGACATTTTTTCACTGAGTTCGGATTCGTTTGTCAGTTGTTCCATGCCCACTCTGTTCTGCTCATTTTGCAATAAATAGGATTCCCCTGTTTTCTATCTTGAGTATTTTGAAATTCTGTATTAATTACAGATTGGACATCGGTTACTTTTGTTTTCCCTTATTTTTAAAACATAGTGTCATGTTCTTCACCGGGGAACGGTTGTAGACAAGATGAACAAAAAATAATTTCGATACAAATAACTTCTTACCTTAATCAAGTTATTATGGTCGAATAACTAGTTACTTTTACGCCTAGATGTTTCAATCAAAACACATCAAGCAAGATCTATGATTGTTGCGATATGCATGCTGTATTTATACCTGTGCCTGATGTATTGGTAACGCCCATTCCATGAATAAGTTGTATTACACAAAACATTTTGTAGACTTTTACTTCATTTTAAATACTAAGATTTTATATTTGAATATGTCTTTTTACCTGTTCAAACAATTTGAACATAAATGAAAACAACGTTTTACTAAACATCAAGAGTACGTATTCCTATATACACATACGTTACACTTTGTATTTGTTATTGACTGTTTTATGCTGACTTGTTGTTATTCCTCAGTAGATAGAAATGCAACATGGAGAACGGTCTTATGCATCATTGTTAAATACAAATACATGACGTTGTATTTTAATCAGTATTTGTTTTGAATGAACATTGAACTATACTACATGATACTTAATCAGCAGACACAGTTTGCTGTGATTCATTTCATTTAAAAAAAGATAAAACGATTTCTATTTGAAAAAGACAAAATCTTTTTTTATTCTCTTTTTCCTACTTCATTTGAATGAGTAATGATAATATTAAAGAATAATGTTTGCATATTTGATAAGGACAAGCTTGCATATATTTGGGGCCCAAATTTACATAGTTTACATTAGATATTCGTGTAAAGCAACATCTGATGAAGTCAAATGTGAAATCCGATACAAATTCAAGTATATTTTTATTAAAAAGTTTTTATCTCACGCTGAATATGTTGTTCGGTTGATCGGAGCTACACTAACATGTCGTAATCTTATATGAATAACATATAGCTGAGAGGGTGATAGAGCAGATTGTTACCCCTCGAAAGGACGTTGTCAACCTTGGCTTCCCCTCAGTTTACTATGTTTTCTCGGGGTAACAATCTGCTCTATCACCCTCTCAGCTATATGTTATTCATATAATATCTGCTCTGTATTAGTGTAGATGTCCCGCCCTATTTAATAATTAGGCTTAGAATTTTAAACAATGGCATAACATTCTACACGCATATTACATATTTTTTCGTTATAACTTGAATTTAAAGTTTGTCACATCAGCCTGTCAATCGAAACAGAAATTAAAAAAAAACCATCTTTGTGTGAGTAAAACGGGCTAAAAATTATGTCTGTTAAGGTAGGAATAAAGGGAAACTACTTTTACAAAAATGATAATATAGCTTGTTGAAAGATTTTACTATTTATCATCCATTTGAAGATAAGGTTGTATTGAATGTTGTACTAAAATATCCTTTTTTTCCCGGTCCATTCGCATTAAATGGTTAATTCTCGGAGCAAGGTGCGTTTGCCTAGTGACTTTTAAAAGTTTTACGAAATTGTTGAATTTTTGCTGAATATTTATTCATTTTGTTGATATTGTTTGCTGAATATTTATTCATTTTGATGATATTTTTGGCTGAATTTACTAGTCAACCTGCATACAGATACAGAAATATTGCATGCGTTCTAATGACCTATATAGTATACATCCATCAAAAAATTGTTTTGGAACCAAAAACAGATAAAGACTGGGTTTATTGAGTTCTAATCTTTTTATCTAAAATTTGTATGATAGAGAATTTCCAGTAAACTCCCTCTGACTACCTCGACAACTATAGCTGGTATAAATTAAAAAATATTGACAGTTTTAGCTACCTGCGAAGAGTTCTGTAGTAGAGCTTCTCTAGAACAGTTTATAATACTCCTATGACAGATAATTATGACAGCTTTGAAAAAAGTCGAACATATCCAAACTGTAATTATTCAAGGTATTGCATTGACTTAATTACATGGTTTTGCTGCTCATTAAAATACATGTATTTACCCAGATTGTTTAATTATTTACTATTTTGTATTGATTTATATAAGGATATGGTTGTCCCCAATGCTATTGTGTGATATTTATGTTTTGGGTTCAATGTTGCAGTAAGAAGGAATACTTTCCTAATCTTTTTTTTTTTGTCAATAAAATTATATCGTCCTGTTTTTGTATTCAAAGTATGTGCAACAATGCAGGATTTACATATAAATGGCTATAAATATAATCTACTGAATTTTTTAAGTGAAATTGTAAAGTGTGAGTACTAAAATATATTTAGAAAATAGACATGTATTTAATAGATCAAAACAAGCATCAACTTCGTCTTTAAAAGAACGAATCATTCTCTGATCAATTGAAAAGAGTTTTATTGGGAAGTATTTGGAAGGGCGATAATATTTCCTCTAGAGTCTTAATTCCTTTGCCCCAAATCTCACCGCACAAAGAAATTTTGAACAATTGACTCAATACAAAATTCTTTTCAGCAGAAGAGCCACGCTCTCTTATTATTTTCTTTTCTTTTTATATTGATGTTACAGAATTCGCAAAATGTATCCACATAAAAAGCACAATAACACAAAGAATGTTGAGAATTTCAGTATAAAATTTTTGTATTTTGAACTATTTTCTTAAATCTGTTTCCATCTACAGATTTAAAAGCTTTGACTGGTACAGTTTTGTCAATCAATATCGACATCTTTCTCCTGATGCCAGTTTCTAAAATGTAAAAGCGAGGAAATAATGTATAACTGTTCAAAAAAATGAAAGGTGAACAACATATATAGACAATAATCAAAGTCAGAGATTTAAAGTCGGATATTAAACGACTTTACTTGTTAGGAACAGGAACGATTTCTAGTGTCCCTCAGATGAAATACATTTAAGGAATAATTGTCTTTACTTGATACAACTGTCATTATAAATAGTTCCAATAGTGCAGATCTGTTAGACAAACACCAAGTTAACAGGAATAATTTTTTTTTTTAAATTCACCAAATTAGTGCTCAGGAGGCATGTGGGATGAGAGACATTTGAAAATAATAAGTAAATATCTAAATGGTTATTACATGTACCATCATCATTTTACAAATTCTTCGAATTGTCTGCATGTTATAGAATTTGCCTAGTAAAACAAAAATATCAGTAAAGTAATGTAATATAATCCCCGACAGCCGACGCTGGAATGTGTTTAATAGGTTTAAGGTCACTCCCATCTAGATTTAAATGTTTCAACAAAAAAAAGGCGAAGGATACCAAAGGGACATTCAAACTCATAAGTCAAAAATAAACTGACAACGCCATGGCTAAAAAAGAAAAAGACAAACAGACAAACAACAGAACGCAAAACAACATAGAAAACCAAAGACTGAGCAACACGAACCCCACCAAAACTGGGGGCGATTTCAGGTGCTCCAGAAGGGCAAGCAGATCCTGCTCTACATATGGCACCCGTCGTGTTGCTTATGTAAGTACAAACCCGGTGATATGTCTAATTTGGTAGGTCACATTCGTGGTAAAGGGATCTAGATTGTAGTTACGACAATTGGAACATATCCGTCGTCATCTGTGAAACATATATTGAATAACGGTCAACCAAGTCGTGATGGCGTCCGTTAAATTTACGAAGGAATGATTTCAACTTCACCACTTGTAACTCTTGGTTTAACAGCTTCTTTTAAGCAGCAACTCTCTATCAAGGAAATCATGATAGGAAACACAAGCCCTGGAATATCGTACCAACTGGGAGATATATACTCCGTATGCAGGCGCTGCTGGAATGTTGCTACGTAGAAAAGGAAAGTTCACAATTGGGAAGCTGAAATCATCTTTTTTGTCGTGAAGTTTTGTTTTCAACCGACCTTCATTGTCAATTTCTATATGTGAGTCTAGATATTAGGAAGATTTAACTGAATCTGTTGTATCATTTATCTCAAGTTCGATGGGATAGATGCGTTCAACATAATCGAATTATTTAGTGAGAAAACATTTTCTATATAACTGAGAAGTAAAGTTAAAGGATACTGCTAATTTCTTTTTTTACTACCTAAGAAGTTCCGGTATGAAGTCAGCCTCATATGAATATAGGAACAAGTCGGCAAAAAGTGGTACACAGTTGGTTCCCATGGGAAAGTCGATTGTTTGTTGAAAAACACGTCCTCCGAACGTAACTAATATGTTGTCAATCAAGAAATCAAGCAATTTGATAATGTCAGTTTCAGATACATTTTCGTTTGAATCAGAAGTACGACTTATCCCTCCCCAAGACAAGAAACTTGTACTTACCATGGCCATTCTTTTTTATGAAACAAAGCATGACTTACTCTTTCAATTTGTCTTTTAGTTTGGAATGGAGAATACTTGTGTAAAGTGTAGAAAAGTCAACTGTTTTAATACTATTGCAAGATGAAAGAGTCTAAGATTGTATGTACTCTAAAAGATATTTGGATTTTTTTTGCATCCACATTTGATTCACACCACCTCTAGAAAAGGTAGTTTCACTATAACTTTGAAGCCCTGATTTGATTGCTGATAAAAATGATGTTTATAATTTAGGAAGAGGTTTCGTGAAGCACTTGGAAGACCCAGCAATAAAACGTTGTTTGTAATGACACTTATGTAGTTTAGGTATCCTATACAGTGATACAGTTCTTTATCTTTGGTTGAAATTCCAAAAGGAACATAGAACAGACCTATGATTATCCAGGGATTAAACCTTGGGAAGTGTCGTGGAGGAATATGTCGAGCTTCCAAGTGAATTGTCAATACCTACTTCATTTATCAAGCAGTATATGTAATGTAATTTGCACACAAAAACGATGTTGTTTGGGGCTTGATCTGCGGGGACATCAACATATCTGTCATGGAAGTAGGACAGGTGTTTTGCAACGTTTGGGTCTTTAAAGATTGATGTAGCATATGTGTTCATAGAACCTTTCAGTTTATTTTAATTCTGATTTGTATTAACGACCTCACAGCCTTAATCCATTCGGAAAGAGTATCTACATCTTCTTTCTCGCGTTTAACCATTGCCTGGCATAAACCTCGACTGAATCCATCAGTTTTTTGAAGTTGTGTTTCCAACTGATGGATTTAGGCTTACAATATTTAGGGCCTTTGGATAACACATTTAGCAGAGAAGTGTTATTGACAATGTCTAGGTCACTAGTAATAACGTGGCCAGCAGGATTATATTTGA